TGTCATTTAAGAGGGCTGGATTTCCACTCCCAGAATCCCCCAGCCAGTGAGATTTAAGAGGGGTGGATTTCCACCCCCAGAATCCCCCCGTCAGTGTCATTTAAGAGGGGTGGGCTTCAAGTAAGCTGAGCTGGCTGTGGAATTCTGGGTGTTGAAGTCCACCCATCTGAAAGTTGTCAAGCCAAAAAGTCCAATCTATTATATTTTGGCTACCTTAAGAAGGGAAAAAAAGTGAGTCCTCGACTTATAACAGTCTATTTAATGACCATTCGAAGGTACAATGGCAGTGAAAAAAGTGACTCCTGACCTTTTTCCATACTTACGATGCTTGTAGCGTTCCCATGGTCGCATGAATCAAAATTTGGACTGCTTGACTCACATTTAGGACGGGTTGCGGCCTTCTGACAAGCAAAGTACATGTGGGAAACCTGATTTGCTTAACGACCGTGTGGACTCACTTAAGAACTGCAGGGATTCACTTAGCAACGGTGGCCAGAAAAGTCCTAAAACTCCCTAGGACAAACATCTCAATTAGCACCATAAATTTTCGGGCTCGGTTGTGGTCATAAGTCGAGGACTTATCTGTAGTCTCCTTTTCCTTAAGGCCAGAGATATTATGTGCTCCGTTGTGCCTTCGTGTGCAAGGCTTTGCACATTTTCCTCCTATTCTCTTGCTCCCTCCCACCCCAGTCGGTATCCTGCATGGGAATTTTTACTGTACTGGCCCATTGGGAGGCAATTCGGAACCAGGCCACGAGTTCAAATCCTGGTATAGGGTTTGAATCCCATTAAAAAAAAACAGCAACAACCAATGGGGCATAAACTGGATGGAATTCTGCCTCCTAGTGGTCAAGCGAAGTTCTAACACCTACCCTGTTTCCCCTGAAAATTCGACCTACTCTGAAAGTAAGGCCTAGCTTGATTTTTTTACACGTGCGCCCAATATAAACCCTAATTAAGATCCCGCCCATTCCAGAGTGCACAGGTAAAAAGGGGAGAAAAGGAGAGGGAGGAGGGAGAAGAGGAGGAAGAACAGGAGAAGGAAGAACAGGAGAGGAAAGAGGAGAGGGAGGAAGAGGAAGGGAGGAGGAGAGGGAGGAAGAGGAGGGCAAAGAAAGGGAGGAGGAGACGAGGAGAAGGAAAAACAGAAGGGGAAGAAGAGAGGGAGGAAGAGGAGAAGAAATGGGGGTGAATTGGAGAGGGAGGGGGAGGAATGGGAGGGGGAAGAGAGGAAGGAGGGAGAAGAGGACGGGGAGGAGGAAGAAGGGGGGAAAGGAGGAAGATGAAGGACTACGGAGGGTTTTCTCTGATCTGGGTTGTTTTCTTGCGAACATTTCATATATAACCAGAGCAAATTCCCCCTCCTTCTACCACTGGTGACGTTCCCCAGTTGGGTCATGAAATGTCTACAAGAAAACCACCCAAACTCAGTGACCCCCAAAGATCCCATTTTTTCCCCCACCCCAAAGATCCTAGAAGGGGACGGGGGTGGGGTTGAAAACACAGAATTGGGGGCAATTTTGTAAAACAGAGACGTGTCCGATCCAACCAGACATTGCTGGACAGTTCTGGTTTTTTCCCCTCCCCATCCTGGTTTAGAATTCAAATGTTCACCTGGACCCAATGACCACTTCTAGTCCGACTTTAAGGGGAAAAAAACCACTTTTATTTCATACAAAAAGCTGGGTTACAAAACAAGGGGGCGAAATCCAGTATATATATAAAAAATAATGTTCCAGAAAATAAAGAAGGGGGTGGAGACAAAGTAATTTTTTTAAAAAATGGAAACTTAAAAATTAATACTGTATAAATGAAGAATGTAATATAGTTGTTAAAACTAAGGAACCAGAAGGCTTGCTGTTTTTTTACAAGGTTGGCAAGATTCAGGACTACAAGTCCCAGAATTCCCCATTGGCAATTGTGGACTTCAACTCCCAGAATTCCCTCTTCTTCAAAACCTTGGCAAGCTTGCAAAAACTAACTTCGCTAACCTTTGCTGGTGGAAGGAAGGAAGGAAAAAAGGAAAGAAGGAAGGGAGATGAGGATTTGAGGGGAGGGGCAAGGAACCAGCCCTGACCACCCCTCTACCCCAAATTGACCCTTTAGGAAATGACACATACACACTCCATTTTTTGGGGGGGGAATCTGGAGGAGGGGGTGTTAGGAACATGAGTCACCTAACAGCTATTTGGGTTAGAAATATATAAACCAGGATGAACATTTTAAAACTGTATCTTAAAGAAAATGCAAAACTGTAATTAGATGTGGTTTCTCAAACGGCCATAAGATGGAGCCAGAAACCTGGTTTGTCTTAGTCTGAGTCTCAGAAGAGAGTGTGAGTGTATCTCTGTTTCCTTCTGTTGGAATTCTTGCCGTTGCTCCATTTTTCCTAATTGACTGATATTTCTGGATTTGATGTAAGTCTGAGACTGAACTGTTTTTGACACTGGACTTTGATATTTGGATTATCCCTAGATTGAAAACTGACTGAATTAACCTGTGAATGACTTTTGGACTGCCTATTTTGAACTTTGCTTAAACCTTTCTGGAAGTAAAAACCTACACTTACTGTACAGCGTATCTGTGTGCGGTGTGTGTATTATTCAGACACTTCTCTCAAATACGTCTCCCTGTATGCGCCTGTTCTCCTAATGGGGAATTACCTCAACAGGGGGCATTTTTGATACCCAAGTTGCAAGGGGAGGGATTTTTAAAAGCCAATTGTTTTGGTGGGGGAATGGAGAACCGAGTCAAACTGACCAACCCTTTTGAGGGGGGGGTTTTGTAATATGGAGACCCCCCCATATGGGGAACCCCAAAAAGGAGGGGGAGGGGGGGGGCCGGGGGGGGGGAGATCCCCAGTTAAGATTGGCGAGCAGGTGGCAGCTTGTTTTGGGGGGGCTGACAGCAGGGATGGGCTGCGACCGGTTTGCCACGGTTTGCCTGAATCGGTGGCTAATTTTATCATTTTTAATGGCCGGTTCAGTGAACCGGCAAATTCCACTCCTGACTGGCCCTCGCCCACCCTGCCCCTCCCAGGAGTTTCCACGTGGCCCATTTTGGATCCCAGATAAATACAGGCCTGCACAGAGGCTCGGGGAGGGTGAAAAATGGGCCTCCCAGAAGCTCCGGAGCCCCCTCCTGCTCCGGAGCCTAATTTTGTCTTCCCGGAGGCTCGAGGAAAGCCCCCCCCAGCCGTAGTGTAGGAGGCTGACTAGACCAAGCCCACCCAGCAACCGGGCAGAAAACTGGCTGCTGAAATTTTGGAAGCCCACCCCTGGCTGACGGGGAACCCCCCCCCCCCAAAAAAAAACAACAACACAGGGGCTCTGCAAGACGCCAGATTGGGAAATGGGAGCAACCTTGGTAGTCAAAACAGAGAAGGAAAGATGGTGAGGGAAGGAAGAAGAAAGCATAATATACAAGAAAAAAAAAAAGTGAGGGGTGGATGGCAGGTTACGTGAAACAACCCCCACCCACCCCTAATTGGAGTCCAGGGTCTCATCCTTCATCCGGATTTTCTTTTGATGAGGTGAAGTCAACTTGGCTCCTCGTTTCCGGCTCTTCAGGAGGCTGGGGGAAAAGGGGAAGAAAAGAGGGAGCTCGAGTCAGCGAGCCAAGCCACAAAGATGGGATTCGCGCCCAGGAGGCGACAGAGGGGAAGGGAGCATTCACATATTTGGGGTGAGGGGTGCGTTACCCACCTTTTCCTACACTTGCAGCCCTCTGTGTTCTCCCTCCCGTGAGCCTCTTTGAACTCCAATGCATCTAGAAGTTTCTTTATGATGTCATAATGGGCGCGGTTGCGAGTCTGTGAACAAAATGGACGCCTTACAATGTCGGCTCGAGGTACAAGCTGCTCCTGTGACCCCCCCTCCCCCGAGTCCCCCCACCAAAGCTGGTACGTTTGCCTCTTGAAGGGTTGGTGGTCACCCCTCACCCCAAACCGCCAAGGGAGGCCCAACGCACTACTCACAGTGAGTGTGTAAACCTCGGGCTCGGCTCCCGATTCACATTCAGGTTCATCTTCCTCTGGCAGGATTTGCACTGGTCTCCTGCTGGGGGCGCAAGGACGCTGGTCTTGCAAAGGAGCTGGAGAAGCGAGAGGCAAGAATGAGGGGGGGGGGGAAACCACACCCACTAAGTCCTGCCCCCTTTGAGGGCAAGGAAAGGAGACCACAGGGAAGTACCCGAAGCCGTGTCTGCTCCTCACAACTTCCTCCTCCACCTCCCCTCTCGTTTTCATGAGCAAACAACTTTGGGATAAGAAGCTTTATATAAGTTTAATACATGACATGCTTTTATAAGCTTAATCAATAAAAACAGAACACCTTTGCGGTATCCTGTGGGAGGGAGTTCTGCAGATTAACTGTGGTCTGCAAAAAGAGATTCCTCCCCGCGATCTGACGTACTTATTTTCTTGGATCATTCCCCTGCCTCAAAATATTTGGAGAATCTTCCAACTAAACTGCTTTATTGCCGAAAGGCTTTGCACGGGAATATTCTAACTAATCTGCTGTATTGCTGAAAGCCTGCATGCAGGAATTTTCTACTTAAATTGCTTAATTGCTGAAAGCCAGTGAGCAGGAATCTTCTAACTAAACTGCTTTATTGCTGAAAGCCTCTGAGCAGGAATCTTCTAACTAAAATGCTTTATTGCTGAAAGCCTCTGTGCAGGAATCTTCTAACTAAACTGCTTTATTGCTGAAAGCCTCTGAGCAGGAATCTTCTAACTAAACTGCTTTATTACTGAAAGCCTCTGTGCAGGAATCTTCTAACTAAACTGCTTTATTGCT